AAATAAAAGAATTATTTCATTTAAATTAATTGAACTTTCATACACTGGTCATTCGGTTAGTGTAGAAATAAGAAATGTATTATATGAGTGAGTTTTGCAAAATAAAATATTTACGATTAATTTAGATAATTCAGCATATTATTATCAAACCGTAGTCCATTTAAAATCAACTTTACAATTATTTATTAATGGTGATTTATTTCATATTCGTTATTGTGTCCATATTTAAATTTGATTGTTAAAGAAACTGTGCATGTATACGAGACTTCTGTACTTGTAATAAAAAAATACAGTTGTTACTATTATGTCTTCTACTAATCGAATTTCTGAATATAGAAAAATTTGTCAATAAGAAAATATGTCATTTAAAAAATTAATTTTAGATGTAGATAGTAGATGAAATTCAACATATTATATGTTAAAAATAACTTATAAACAAAGAAGAACAATAGATTTATTTTTTGCAACAGCATCAATAGGAGGAGTACTGACTCTCACAGAATTTAATTGGCGCCAAGTAGCCTTGTATAAAGATTTTTTAAAAGTTTTCGATAATTCAACAAAATTATTTTCTTATATATATATATATATATATTTATACTTCGCCATTTATTTTACATATGCTAACAAAAATAATTAAATTTTTTGTAAAATATATGAGTAATGAATATTATGTAATCATTATTATTTCAACGAAAGTAAAATTTGATAGGAAAATGAGTGAGAGCACTAATTAGTGCTATCACTAATGATGTGGTAGTGGGCCTCACCAGGAATGATTTGATGTTTTGGCCTTGGTGTTGTATTTTTTTTCTTCTTTTATTGAGTGCCATGTCATTAGTGGTCTTTTTAGAGCTCCAAAATTAGTGGTCTCTATCATTGTTGAATTTGATAAATATTTTAACCTTTTACCTTGTGTTTTAGATTTAGCCAAAATAATTGATCTGAGGTATAAAGAAATAGGTTTATAAGAATTTTTAGAACGTATTTTCGTTGATCAAACACAATTTGCCCCTATTATGCAAATATGCAACAGATTATTTGAAGAATACAGAGCACCTGTATCTGTAAATACACATACACACACTACACTAGCAGTCTCATCTCGAGGCGGAAAATCAAATGTTTTTTCAATAATGAAAAGTAGAAGAATATCTCAACATATAAGCCTAAGTAGTTCTGAAATACAATGTTATTTAGAAAGCCTGTTAGTGGATGATTTCAATGATTTTGACATTTTGGAATGGTGGAAACAAAATGAAACTATGTGGCATGTGGTTTCACGTGACCCATGATATACTGACTGTTCTTATTTCTACAGTGGCTTCGGAAATAGCTTTTAGTGTAGGTGGACAGGTGTTGAGCAATTACCGGAGTAGGCTTTCACCTTAAATGTTTAATGCATTAATAATATTCAGAGATCATATGCGTGCGCTTACAAGAAGACAAAATTATAGTGAAAAAGAGCGAATTCAAAATGATTTGGATGACATATTCTCGGACAACGCGACTGAAATGTCTGTCTCCTCCGATGATTGATCAACAATTTATTTTTTACTATTTCATTTCATTTTTTTTATTAGATTATTGAAGTGGATTATAATGCAAATGATTGGTTGGTTAGTAGGTGCCAACCTAGTTGGGATGTACTTGATCTATAGTGATACAATTGCTCTACCATCATCAATAATCTTGTAACGCCCCAAATTTCTAGCCCAAATGACAATACAACAATCATGGCTCTTTAAAAAAAAACCGAATATAAATTTCCAAACTTACATTACATGATACAATAGTTCTTCATGCAACAACATATTAATCTAACAACAAGTAAACTCCTAAGGGTTTAGAAGCTTCCAAGGCTTGAGCTTAATTACAAAAAACGGTTATTCAAACCCACACACATATAGCCCTTGGCTTACACACAGAGTCACAACAAAATAAGAGTCTCATACTCTCAACACACATTTCCTCGCCTTTAGTTAGGCAGTATCACCACATTTTTTCCTGCACAAAAATTTCGTAGGGTGAGCATAAAGCCTAGTAGAAAATCCTTAACAAAGTATATACATTTTATATAAGTCTCAAGAGATGAAATGCACATGCCATGCTATGCCCCTTTTTGAAGATAAATCACATTTTCATCTTTTGAAAACCATCATGCTCAATGATGTCATGTAATTTCAGTTGTTCAAAACTTAACTATTTATTTCAAGGGCGGTAAATACGACTCTGGTAATCCCTAGGTCGATGTTTGCAAGTAGACTATACAAGTACTACCAAATTGTCATTTTTACCGGTATTAACTGGAACGCTTAACACCTATCCACGCAGGTTTTCAATCTTTCACCCCGGACTCTCAGGCCAACTTATTCAATATCATCTATACCACCTGTCAAGACTTACCAACGTATTTATCCTGAAACTATTTCATGAAAACTTGTTTCTCAACATTCTTTTCTTAATGCAAGTTTTCAACTCAACTTTCAAAGTTTAATGTAATAAAATGAATTGTTATGCCAATAACACAAGATGAATATAAATACTTTTATTCCAATTCATCATCCAAGGAATAACACAATTCCTTCTTCTCAAGTATCCTCAATAATTAGTCATTTCAAGACTATTTCAATGTTTTGAACAATAATTTCTAAAATGAATAACAATTTTCATATTCCCTAAAATTCATCATTTATATAAATATAAATAAGAAATTTTCCAAACATTCATTTATTTTGACACACAAAATAAATACAACAATAAAATTCATGGATTTTCAGTCTCTTTTAAAAAATTCCCAAATTTTAGGTTTTCTCACCAAAACTATACAACTCAAATCCTTTGAAAGAAAACTTTTCAAAATCATCTTTTCTTCAATCAACGAAGATCAAAACTCATAAGATCATTTTAAAACAACAAAAGACAAACTCACATTCAAAATTGCTTAACTTCTTGAATCAACAATAAATTTTCAAAGCTATCGAAAGATGATTTCGAAAATCATATAGACCTTGCAAAAATATATATATAACTCTAAGAAAATTCCTACCTCAAGTTTTGAAGAAGAAATGAGATGAACCCCTAAAATCAACGATGTCGAAACTCGATCTTCACAGCACATAACAAAGCCCTCAAGAAGTTAACCAACTTTGATGAAGAAGTTATGGCAGAACTCTAATGGATCTTGAGAAATCAAGGTTTTGATCCAATTTGGCGTAGGAAAATGTAGAGAGAAGGGAGAGGAAAACGTTTTTAGAGAGAGAGAGATATATGAAAGTGATCTGAAATATCAGATTCACGAACTGATATAACATGGTCCGCTCGAGCGTGGAAAGCCCTGCTCGAGTGTCAAATACACTTTCTCAGTACTTTTGCAGATAGGTCAAACTTCTGAAACCAAACATTCTCCGCTTGAGCGCATAAACGGTTGCTCGAACGGACAAGCAACTTCTAATGCATTTTGATCCCTGCCAGGGCGCTGTCCTTAGACCCGCCAAGGGGCGTTGCTCCCTGGACCCCCGCGAGCTGGCTGGACAGCTCGATCCCCGACATACTCAGCGAAGTGGCAAAACTGAGATCGCTACAAATCTACACCTATTTTATTTAATAATTTAAATTTTTGTAATATTTTATTTCATTTTGAAATAAAAAATTTTCATTCAATAAATGTAATATAATTAATTTAATATTATAATATTGAAAGTTTCATTTTCATATATACAAAATTATTTATTTCGAAAGAAAAAAAATTATATAATTACATACTTTTTTAGTTATAAGTTCATAATTAAAAAAATATAAGTCATATATAATTAAATTTAAATACCATCAGTGGCGGAGGTACATTGGGGCGAGGGGGGTCGCCCCACCTTACTTTTCAAAATTTTTTTTTTTGGTGGGGTCTTGCTTACACTTACACACAGTGCCTTTTTCTATACATAATACAAACACAATGACACACCACACGCACTCATTTTTTTTTTTTTTTGAATCCTAATCCCAACCAAACACTGACACATAACCTTTTTTTTTTTGGTAAGTGCACACAACTCCAATTATGGCAAGGCTAAAATCCTAAAAGTGTATGAAATTCTTTATTTTTTTATTTATTCACAGTACTTGTTAAGTGTTTTCGTATTTTCTTTGTCTTCTTTGTCTCCCTTTGTTGCTTTGCAATTTACTGACTCGCGATTTACCAGATTACAATCACACAACACAGATTTGGGACCACACTACAATCTTGATATCTTCTCTTCATTGTTTACAAGTAACTTTATTTATTTATTTTTACTTTTAAATAAAAATTATGAGTGTTAATTTATAATTATTTGTCAAGTTTTGATTTGTAAAATTTTTTGATTTGTTATTATTTATGTTAAAATAAGAGATCTTGATATGCTAAAATTATGAATCTTAATTGGTGGTAATTTATATTAAAATTAGGGATTTTGGTTTGTTGTTGTTTGTGCTGAAATTAAAAATATTAATTTGCAGTGATTAATATTTAAATTAGGGATTTTGATTTGTTATAATTTGTACTAAAATTAGAAATTTTGATTTGTTGTGATTTGTGCTAAATTTAAATTTTTGGATTTGTATTAAAATTGGAGATTTTGATTTGTATGGGTTTGTGATTTTGATTATAAATTTTTATTTTGATTTTTAATTTTTTCAAACAGTCATGGAAAAATATTTTAAAAGAAAATTAAAGTTGGAATCATCTTTTTCTCAAGAAGAAGATGATAATTATTCTTTCGCAAAACAAAATCGCATAGAAATCAACTTAGTAGACCTTCCTGCAGATCTAGGACTACGGTCTCGGATTATGGACTATAATGCTAATGATCGAGACCAAATTCGTTGGGCATATCTACAAAAAGATCCTTGTCAACCTCATGATCATAATTTTCTACAAAAATCATTTGGACAAAAACTTCAACGATTTAATTAGGCTTGGTTTATTGAATTTCCTAATTGGTTGGAGTATAACGTAGCAAAAGATGCAGCATTTTTTTTATGTTGTTATCTTTTCAAACCCGATATTGGAGATCAAGTTAGTGGTGATTCTTTTGTTGGTGAGGGTTTCTCAAATTGGAAGAAAAAAAGAAAAAATTCAGACTCATGTTGAAAGTCCCAATAGTGTACATAATCAAGCTTCGAGTAAATGCCAAGACTTGTTAAACCAAAACAAACATATTCAAACGATTTTTTTCAAACAATCTGATCAAGCTCGAATTGAGTATCGAACCCATTTGAATGCATCGGTTGATTGTGTCAAATTTCTTCTAAGACAAGGACTTGGGTTTTGTGGGCATAATGAATCTGAAAATTCAAGTAACCAAGGAAATTTTCTTGAGCATCTCAAGTTTCTTGCTAATCATAATGAAGATATCAAAGTGGTTGCATTAAGCAATGCTCCACAAAATCTCAAGTTGACATCTCCTGATATTCAAAAAGACATTGTAAATGGGGTGGCATTTGAAGCTATCAATGTGATTACTAGAGATCTTGGTGATGCACTTTTTTCTATTTTGATTGATGAAGCCCATGACATATCAATCAAGAAGCAAATGGCAGTTGTAATATAATATGTTGACAAAAAAGGCCAAGTGATTAAATGGTTTTTGGGTATTAAGCATGTTACTAATACGAATGCTCTCTCACTCAAGCAAGCTGTGGAAAATTTATTTTCCAGACTTGGATTGAGTATTTCTAGATTGCGGGGTCAAGGATATGATGGGGCTTGTAATATGCAAAGTGAGTTCAATGGTCTTAAAACACTTATACTGAAAGAGAATCCTCGTGCATATTATGTTTATTGTTTTGCTTATCAATTGCAATTGACATTTGTAGCTGTAGCAAAGAATCATAATCAAATTACTTTAATTTTCACTTTGGTTTCTAATGTGGTGAATGTTGTTGGAGCATCATGTAAATGTTAAGATATTGTTGAGGAGAAACAAGCTGCAAAAGTTGCTGAGGCACTTAATACTAGAGAGCTATCTAGTGGGTATGCTTAAATCAAGAAACTAATCTTAAATGTGCTGGTGATACGTGTTGGGATTCACACTATGGTACTTTAGTCAACTTGGCTAGTATGTTTTTAACAGTGATTGATGTGCTTGAAATGATTTCGAAAGATGGTTCAAATTCAGAACAATGAGCAGAAGCAAATGTATCATTGGATTCAATTCAATCATTTGAGTTTGTATTCAACCTTCATTTGATGAAAACGATATTGGCTATTATAGGTGAGTTATCGCAAGCACTACAAAGGAAAGATCAAGATATTGTTAATGCCATGAATTTAGTTCAAATTTCTAAAGTACGGCTCCAAAAGATGAGGGAGTGTGGGTGGACATCTTTATTTGATGATATTTTGTCTTTTTGTGAAAAGCATAAAACTGATGTTCCCCAAATTGATGATATGTTTGTACCTCGAGGGAGAAAACGACGCAATGCTCAAGAATTACAAACTTATATCATTATCGCACTGAGTTGTTTTACATTGTTTCAAATATGAAAATTCAAGAACTAAATGCTTGTTTAACTAAGTCGAACACTGAGTTGTTACTTTGTGTGGCATATTTGAATCCATCTAACTCTTTCTCTAGTTTTGACAGGAAAAAGTTAATTCATCTTGTTGAATTTTATCCCAAAGAATTTTCTTCAGTGGAGCTCATGGTACTTATTGACCAACTTGATACATATATTATCGATATTCTATCCAGTAGTGAGTTCTCAGTGTTGAATGTAATTGCCGATCTTGCTAAAAAAGTTGTGGAGACTGGAAAAGACAAAGTATATTCATTGATGTATTTGCTCTTGACTTTAGCATTAATCTTACCTGTTGCAACTACTCTTGTTGAGATGGTATTTTCAGCTATGAATACTGTGAAGAATTGGTTGCGGAACCGAATGGGTGATGAATGGATAAATGATAGTTTGGTTGTCAACATTGAGAGAGATATTTTTTATGGCATTGACAATGATACTATCATGCAAAGATTTCAAAAGATGAAAACTCATCAGGGTCAATTGTAAAAGTTTAAAATTAAAAACATTTTGTAATGAATATTAATTTTTAATGTTTAATATTAACTCGAAAAATCATTATTATGTTATTGTTATTGATTGGGGAAGAAAAATTTTGAGATTATAATTAATAGGTGTCCCCCCATACCGCCACTGAATACCGCCATGAAACATAACCAAACAAAATATCTCATTAATCTTAACTAAAATACTCTAATATAATTCTTCTTTTATTTTTTATTCCTAATAAATAATCTACATAGATAATGTATTTATTGTTTATTTTTCAAAAAAACAAAAGGCCCGACTACTTGCGGCCCAGGCCCTATTATGAGTGGACTTCGGCCCCATTTTTTAGCCCATGGACCAGGCCGGGACGCTAAAAAAGCGGGAGCCCGCGAGGCCCTCTTGGGCCGGCCTGAGCCCAGGCTCGGATGAACCGAGCCAGGCCATTATTACATCCCCATTCTGAAGGGTTGTATAACACTCCATCTTCTTTGAATTAAATGGTATAATAGTCTTGGTTCTTACCATTTTGAAAATAAAAATAAGTTTGAGATTCCTAAAGTATAATTGGGCGAATTACACTAACAGTCCCTATAATTTGGGATTCATGTCACTTTGGTCCCTAACTTTTCAATTGTAACACATTTGATCCTGAATTTTGAATCTTGTTCCAAATAAGAACAATTAAAGATAGCATTGATTAATTTCAAGGGCAAACTCATCAATTGGATAAAATATAAATTAATTTGACAAAAATAAATGTCAAAAAGATATTTTTGAACTTTTAAAAATTATTTTTACTCACCAAAGATAAAATTATGTAAAATTAATAAATCATTTACACATTTATTTATTTATTTATTTATTTTACCAAATTAATTTTATTACGTGTTTGGATGATGATCATGTAATGGGTGGTTGCTTTTATTTTCATTAAATTAGTTTTATTTTTCTAAAAGTCAAATATAGCGAACTTTGATATCATTATTAAGCCAATCCATTAAATCAAAAAATTCAAAACTAAAAACATTTCATATATTAAATATATCAATTACACATTAAAAGCCTAACAACCACCAATTACATGATTATCATTCAAATACATAATAAAAATTAATTTGGTAAAATAAATAAATAAATAAATGTGTAAAAGATTTATCAATTTTACTTAATTTTATCTTTAGTCGGTAGAAATAATTTTTAAAAATTCAAATTTTTTTTTTTGTCTTTTATTTTTGTCAAATTAGTTTATATTTTCTGAAATTGACGATTTTGGCCTTACAATTGGGCAATGGTATCTTCAATTGTCATTATTTAAAATAAGATTCAAAATTTATAGTCAAATGTATCACAATTGAAAAATTAGGAATCAAAATGACATATGGCCTAAAATATAGGAATCGTTAGTATAATCACCCAGTATATAATTTTTAAATTTAACCACAATGATGTTGACTATATTCATATCAATTATTGATAAATTTAAAAGCCAATCACCTAATATCCAACCTCTTACCACATCATAAAAGGTGAATTTAAAACTCACTAGCATTTCTCTTTAAAAATAAAAGTTGATAAGTCTAAGTTATATCGTACCATTGAAATCACATTAAGATATAAATTAAACATATAAATTAGAGAATAGAAGATCTCATATAAAAGGAAAGAGATAACTCACAATTTATGTCTCACAATTATACCTATAATAATGTAATAAGTTATGTGTTAACTTTTTAATTTGTCATAAATTCAACCATATAAAAGGCCCTACTCCCTTAGCATGCAGTGAATTATAAGATTTAAAATGGAATGAGTTATTCTCGCATAACTTTTTTGGGAAGGATAATAAATTTTGTGACAAAAATCTCCTATCGATTTTCTTCTTAAAACAATATAATTAATCAGATAAGTTATTAAGGGTGAACTGCTAATAGGTCATAATAGTTGAACTTAATTCTCATCAAGTTCTATTGAAAATAAGTCTTGGTAAAATTGTCGCTAAAAATAATTTTTTTGTGACAATTGTTTATATATGTCGTTAAAAATTGACAATTAGAGACTTTTTTTTATTATGATTTTTATAAATTGTCACTAAAACTTACAATTAGTGACTTTTTTATGACAAATTTTTCCCATAGGACCTATTAGACAATAAGTCCACTTATTAGGACCTATATGTAAGTACCTCTTATATTAAATATAAATGAAACACATAATAATTTTATTTTGAAATAAAATAATTCTATGGTAAACGGTCAATAGTTCCGAAATTGAATAAGATTTAGGGACGTTTTGACAAGCTGGTAAAAAGTTAGTTTTTTAGCGTTTTAGTTTTTTTGGATCACACCACCTGCCTATTTTTTTACACCAAAAAAGCCAAAAAAACTACAATAAAAAAAAAAGCAAGAAAACCAACTTTTTACTATCTTTTCAAAAACTACTTCATGGGCAAAAATACTACGGGTGTGTTTGGTAATGTTTACATTTTTAGTTTATATTTATAAAAATTTTATAAATTGGTTTTTGTTTATTTTTAGAAAAACATAAACTACAAACGCGTTTGATAATTGACAAAATGTTTAAAAAAAATTTAAAATATAAAAAAGA